GTAAGGAAATCGAAATTTCCTTTTTTCAATTCATCAATACGCGGATGAAATATATACAGAAGAATGATATTATAGTGAAGAGAAAGACAACGAATAAAGAAGGAAGGAGTAGCCTTTACTTTGCTGAAGGCAAAGGAAGAAGTAACACTTGGACATATTCTTTCTGAATGCAGAGCTCAGGCTTGATCAAGCTTATTGCGACAACCTCAGCTATGTTGAACAATCATTAGCGAGTTACATGTTATGTCGTTTTTAGAACACAATGAATGACATTTAAAGCTTCATTAGCATCTGTGCGATGTTCTGTGTCGACTTGGTGCACTGCGACTAAACTTTTCACCACTCTCACTTCGCCCTTTCCCAACCAACCTAGTAAATACTCTCGTATCCGGAGATGCACCTACCTAATCATGCGCTCTATATAACTAGTTCCACGAGAACAGTGAAATTGATATATGCAAGATGAAGAACTAAGATTAGGTAGGGTATGCTTCAGTCTCGGATTGAGCATTGGCCGACTACTGAATGGTAGGTGAAGCCGATCTGCATAAAACATCTTATTGACTGATATAGCTAGGTGTTGTGGTAGAATGTTAGTTGCCACATCTCCCTTGAATTGTAAGCGTAGAAAGCTAAGGCTTCTCCACTGTTACCAGTTCTTATTTAGGACCAATGTAGTTTTTGAACTTATCGGGATATCCGTTTTCACTTTTTTGATGCACTTTTTGGAATAAATCGATCTTAATCTGTCTATTTCATCTACTGAAACACATTCTCCTGCTCTAATATCACTTTTCTCTGTTACATACCGTCCTGGAAGTATAACAAGTTGGTTTGATTCACTTCTGTGCTGGTGTCCTACATTCATCTATTTATCTTTTTAAGTGTAAAGATTTTATTGAGTGAATAATGTAGAATAATTTAAAGTATTGTGTAGTATAATATTATGATCACATGAATATACACAGAACTATGAATGTGACATTTGTCGAATTGAACACGATTTCTTGGTTTTATGGTTTACATATAAGAATATGGTAAGAACAGTCATTAGTAAAGTTCACAGGAAGGAAGAAAAGAAAGAATTGGCAATTTTCATGGAATTAATGTATTGTATGCGTTAAATAAGTGTTGATTGACGGATAATGATATTAAGTATGCTTTTCTTCTTCATAAAATCAGTAGTTTCAACTGCAACATTACTGAACAACTGTTTGCGTCTAATTTACTCATCATTTTTTCTAAATTAGGCTATCACCTGATCCCTTGTGGGGGTCATTGGTGCGCATTGGTGTTGAATGCCATATTGTACATTGACTAGCCTTGGATTACCACTCATCTTCATAATTAACCGTATGCACAGAGTTGGTATACCGGTTTAATTACTTTGAATAGTTGACTGGAATTCCTGTTTATCCAACTACCTGTGAAGTATATTGATGGTTCCATTAGCCATCGCAAAAGCCGAATTCACAATCTTGTTTCGTCTGTTCCTTTACAAGTACAAACTCATCTCCACCTAATTCGAATTGAAAAGCAAAGTATTTCTTTAATCTGACCTTACGGACAGTAACTGACTAAAAAAATCAACGTCGAACCCAGCACACCGGTTCATCGGCTCAAGTTGCCACACTTTACAATAGTACATAAACAACAAGTGCATAAAAAAAGATTGATATCAAAGTTGTGTTAGACAATAAACAGTTTAAAGATGAAAGTTAGTGCAAATATTCAAGCTTTAGAAGATGTTAAGGAGTCATCAACTACTGGTTCCTACCGTCTCGAGGACCCTAACCAGGTAGTCTAAATCTTCCCCACAAGACTCAAGACAGCATTCAGGGACTTCACCAACTGGTGCCACATCTTGGTCTGGCTACTCTGAATCGTCTTCCAACCTAATCCAGCTTCCCCTAGTATATCACGTCGAGGCAGTTGGGTGGCTCAGCATACTCAGTACATGTCCAAACTATTTCAGCTGATGAAGGTTCAAACCTCTTCGATCGACTTACCTGTCTTGCCTAGTATCCTTCGCCTAACTGACCTCAACATTACTCACATGGGTGACTCCACCAAACATGAACAGTACTACGAAGGTATCTATGATCAAAACCCTATAATCACTTCATTTCTCCTACTTTTGACTTATAGACCATTCGGGGACATCACGCTACAGGCACTCGAGTGGAACCCAGATAGGAAACGGTGAGTTGGGCGTCTCAGGTGAGGGTGACATGAAGGAGATCGTGCGAGGAAGAAATGAGAGCTTGTGGGATTTCGTGGAACCAGGTTCAAAAGATTCATAAACTTGACAATCATGTATTGACTGAACTAAAAGATTACAAATGTGTCAGCTGATGAAAATCGAGGAAATTTAATGAAGTTATTAATACTACTCAATGGTTAATAGGTTATACAATGATGAGATGAACATTGTCGGAAGAAAAAGCAGAAGTTGGGATAGATTAGTCAGCAATGTTATCTTCCATTTGTCAATAACAAGTATCATCAATTATGAAATTGGAATCGAAGTAAAGACATCAGAGACTGGTCCCTATGCTGTCATAATAGACACAGACAAATACGTGAATAATAAAAAAAATACGAATGTTAGTTGGCACATCACTGTTCCTAAATGATTGTACAGAGAAGGATATAACTGAGTCAAAAGAAAGATAACAGGTCATAAGAAAGTTGAGAGAACTTCCTAACAGAATACTAATTGATAACGATATATATATCACTGTGTTTGTATAGGAATCTCGAATGTCCACAAAAGCTATATCATGATATGACTAATACTACTCACCGTTTCACAAGTTTATCTGTGTTGCTTTTTGAAATATTTCGTATTCATCTACCCAATATTGGCTATTTACAGTCTAAAGGATACCTTCTAATTAGCAAAAAAAACATTGAATAATAATCTATGGTTTCTTCTGATGTTATGCTTATTGACAAAATTATATCCATCCATCCCTATTTCCAATATTAAAGTGTGAATTCACACAACTATTTTAGTCTGTTTATTAGAAATATCATGACACAGTAAAGGAACAGTATCATTTACTGGATTACGTATATTTCGGACACAATTTATTCTCCATATTCATATCAGGTAACTCCACAACTTCAGGACAAACTTTATATATTCCTAATTTTCTCTCCTTCTCTGTGATGATAAGGATAGTAGAATTTTCCATATATCTGAGACAGGTGCAGAATCATTCCTATTTGGTGTTGATTCGATAAACAAAGATCTGGTCATCAATCTCTCTCTCCACCCAACTAAGTTTATTTTCAACACTTTCGCCCTATCCCACCCTATTGTATGATTGTATCATCGCATGCAGAGCTATAGCCGAACTTTCCTCTAAATTTCTTATTTTATTAGGATCTACTAGTCTTGATTTAGCTTAGTGTTTTTGTGGTCTGTTATTCTAATCGACCCTGGTGGACTACTTTGACCTATGTACTTGACCTTGCAATCATTGCAAGGGATCTGGTAAACCAGATTATTTTGCCTAATTGCATCAATAGGATTTTTTAACCTAGACACCTTGTTTCTAAGTGAGTTTGTTGGTTTGAATGCCACTTTAATCCCAGCTAGCCTTATTGAGAATTCTTCGTAATGCTTCTGAGGTGCCCTCCTTGTATGGTAACACAGCAGATGCTTTGAATTCTCTATTAACCCTGTCACCATTATTGCCATTAGTAGTGGAATTATTATTATTAGTAACATCTGTATTACTACTACTACTGCTAATATTTTCCTTACCATTTCTTATGAATTTATGTACAAATTTTGGTAGGTAACTATTGAGACGCGAGGTATTCTTGATGTATCTAATTTCCTGTCGTAGATTTCCTGACCTACTAGTAACCTTTTCCGCCTTATCACTTAGGCATTCAACTAAGGCTACCTTGAATGAGATGGGATGGGAGGATTTGAAGTCTAAGTAACGATTCGAATGAGAAGATTCCCTATAGACACTAGTCTCTAAACTTCTATTCTGCTTTCATTGAATCTTGCAATCCACGCTTATTAACTCACCTTCATCACTTTCTTAGTCACAGGTAATTTGGATTGCATTCACTACTGAATTTATATGTGCCAAGAACCATATCTTTGGAGTAGGGTTAAATGTTTAAAGAGCCATTTGTTCCCATCTATCCATAAATATGTCTGTGATGATAGAAGATATTGGTGATCCCATGGCAACACAGACTAAAATGGAATTACAATCGACCACAGTACTCAAGGTTTACTCTTATTTCACATAACTTCTACTAATGTCTACAAAATGTCCAATTTTAATTCAATAACTTTCTATGCATTTAAATCGATAGAGTTTCCATGAATGGTCTGTTACTGTGGATCATCTGTGATATTTTTATTCTTAGCTTACAAAAGACTGTATCTACCAATTCAAGTGAACATATCAAAGTATATACATTGGAAGAACAGAGTGATGGATTCTTGTTCGCATTTCTGAACATATCCTAAAGTATCCAAGTTATAAATGTCCTCAGGTTTTTTTGAATAACACAATCACTCCATATTTTATTGATACAGAACGCTATATCTATGGGTCGAAATTATTTATAGTGATCAATAATTAAATGACACACAGAACGTGTGAGTCCCTCGGCGAACGCCCTAGCCATTCAGCTACTAGGTTGGAGTTCAATGGTTCATAGTCAGGTGGGCGCCAACTAAAGAACTCTGACCCAGTGGGTGGATGTTTAACGCGTTCGTCTCGAGACCTAAAGGTCCTGACTTTGATTCGTGACGGGGTTGTATCTCAGTACTGTCAAGGAGTCCCATACTGGGATGAGACAGTCGTCCAATGCTTCCAGTTATTCAATAGTTCCCCGACTGATATCTATCTATGATGAATACCAACCCTAAAAGTAAGGTTCTTTGTTAATCAGTAACATTAACCTCCTGAAGCTTTAATTATAAAATGATATGACTCTCTGTTTTTACATTTTTTTGTTTAGATCTTTTTCGAGACATACTCTAACTTTCTGAGGTGTGTTCATCCAATCACTTAAAATACTGAAAATCTCCTAACCTTTTATTGTGCTGACGTGTAATCATCACGTCATTTCTTTCTACTGATTCATCAATGTTATTGTGTACAAATCCATCCTAACTTCGGCTATCCTTCCTAGAATGTTCATTCTGCCATTCTATGAATAGTTAAATTTGACAACTTCATCAAATTTCGTCAATTTTAGTTAGCCTACATCTTTGTAAACTTCCATATCAATCAACACATTCCTGTCAAATCTATGAGAGTACGTTGGATACCTTGTTTTTCGGAAAAAATTATCACAAACATTATATCCTATATTAATGTTGTCGTTTGTATTATACCGTCGTTGATTGGACCAAGGCGATCGGTCTCTATTGGCATATGGGCTCCTGTGCAGATGCCTCGATATTGCCTGTGTTTCAGTTATATATTTATGATAGGTAGTGGCTAGCAGTGAAACCCAGGACTCGCGTTTCGTTCTATTTGAGACTCGTCAGCTGTATGTACCTGCCTCCCAGTGAGTGTTGTTGTTCCCACTCGGACTCGGACTATCCGTCATTGCTATATAGAATTAAAACACAGGCAATATCGAGGCATCTGCGCAGGAGCCCGTATGCCAATACAGACCGATCAATTTGGTCCATTCAAGAAGGGGATAATACAAGCAACAACATTACAACTGTACGTATCGCATAAGAAGTGGCCATCATGGCTCGGTGATCTAGTGGATAGTGATCTGGCATTCGAGGCTATCAGTCTCGAGTTTGAGTCCCGGTGGGGACGACACTCACTGGGAGGCAGATGCATCAGCTGACGACCCTGGGATAGGATGAAATGCGCATCCTGGATTCCACAGCCAATCACTGTCCATCATTAGTATGTATATCCTATATTATTATTTATTGCTACTTATAATCTTCTGGTTGCTGTACTGGGCCGAAATGCTTGACCTCTACTGGCAGATAGGCTTTTATGCGGATGCCTTGATACTGCCCAGATATTCATTGTGTTGCAGTCTGGATCCCACTGCTAGCCATCAAGTGGACTACAATATAATGAATATCTGGGAAGAATCAAGACCTCCTCATAGGAGCATATCTGCTTATAGAGGTCGAGAAATTCGGCCCAGTATAACAACGGGGATACCTACTGAACAAGAGGTGGCCCCAGTGGATAATGCTTTGTCGTTTGAAGTGGTGGATTGTTGGTTCAAGTCTCACTGGAGACAATATCACTCACTTGAGTATAGATACATCCAGCTGGTGATGTACAAATATGACGAAACATGCTTCTTGGATTCCACTGCTAACCACCAAGTAAACTTCATCGTATTCTGTAGCCTGTATGGCAGCTGAGGAGGGTCTACGAAATACATTTGCCGATGCTAATTCTGCCACTATGGTTCTTCGTTAGTTCATGTTCATGATGATGTTATCAGTTATTTAACGGGCAACAGTTTCTCATAATAACTGTCATAGTATATATTTCCTATTTCGTTTTCTGATGGCAAAATAATGGTTATAAGTCAAACGACCTTGCATTGTGAACTGGAATCTACTGTAAAGCTCTATTTTAAGTCATATAGGCTTGATTACCTTTGTGTCACGTGTAGTTTGGAGGTGGTTATTTTCAAGGGTCCTCGTTTCTATTTTTGGCTACTTCTATTAATAGTAAGGTAAAAGTGACTTGAAAGGCTACCTAAGTGACTGCTGAGATAACCAACCACTGTTCTTCATTCTAAAAATAAGCACCTTTTTAGCCGAAATACCGAAAGATGATTGGCTATTTCAGCGTTCGCTCCAAGGTAATAAGCCTCCAGTAAAACGGCATTGCCAAAAATGCCTGACGATGACATCCTGGCAACCTATTGTTTGGTCTTGTTCTGCTGACTTGAGTTGCTGGACCTGACTTCACCTCACACGAGCTTGATATACACTAATTTCTGTGGATTATATGCGAAGATTATGTCTTGTTTGACGGTAGAACGTTTGCCACATGACTTTATCAGTGATAGACGAGTTTTTCAAGTATGTTGAGTATATATAATTAAAACAGTAAATTGTGTATGATATTCATCATAGGCCGGCATCAGTTGGAGAACTATTAGGAAGCATTAGGACCGGATAACTTTCATCCTAATATGGGACTCCTCGGCTGTGCGCACCTATAACTCTGGCAAGGGGTCGAATCCACAGGCTTCAGATTTCGCCTCCAGCACATTACCATTGGACCATTAGATCGGAATCTGGGGATCCACATTTGATACCATTATGAGTTCACGATATAGCTTGACCTCTACTTGCTCATGGGTAACGTGCTGTCCGCGAAACCTGAAGTTCCTGGATTCGATCCCTGGAGGTGTGGTGGCCGCACACTTTTGAGAAGTCCCATATTAGAACGAAACAACTGCTGGCCAGTTTTCCAGTGGTTCGCCAATTGATATCAGTCAATAATGAATATCAGCCTGAAATCAATACATAAATCCCCACAAACCATATGGAAGCAAAGTATGTTTTATTTTAGTGAATAATCCCAGACTACTTTATTATCCTAATCAGTAGTCTATAGAGAAATGTGCCCTATCAATTTTTGTGCTCTGCCATTATAGTGTTTGCTTTCAGTCTTCAGTTTTCGCAAAATTCTTGACCAATTAAGCAAACACTGCAGTACATTGCACAGATACCTTGATGGTATAGACCCTAACTATAACTGATCACCTATCGAAATGAGAGAAAGAATCCAGATGAGACAAATAGATTAGTAGGTACAGTTGTATATCGTAGGTATTAAAAAGAAACGTTGGTTTGATGTTGAAGTTTCCAATCAGCAACGTTTTCAACGATATATAATCCATACAGAAGTATAAATCGAACACCGAAATATCATTCTTGAATGTTTTAGTCAATGGGAGCAACAGTGAAAAATTGGAGATTCATTTGTACCGGAAATCAACACACATTGGTTAAATTGTTAACTGCGGTTGAAACAACCCGACAACACACAAAATTGTTGATTTATTATTTCAAAGGCTTTAGACATTTCTACGCTATGCTCTGAATTGAGTGAAATGATGTATGATTGAACTTGTTAGCGATTTTGAATTGTTCACTCCCAGATCCCCCGGGAAGATAATCAGAAAAACGAACACATGATCATTTGTCTGTCCTTTTTTACGTTTAAACTAGTGATGTTATATTGATCTCAGTGACTAGCAGAGGAATTCAGGATGCATGTTTCGTCCTTTTTGGAACTTGTTAGCAGGATGTGCCTGCACCTCAGTGCGGAGTGGTATTGTTCCCACTAGAGCTCGAACCTAGTGCCATTCACTTCAAATGCGAGATCGTTATCCACTAAACCACTAAGACATGATCGCCACCTCTTTTACGAAGGGTATGAGTTGTTGTTATGATACTTTTAATTCGCCATTGCATTACAGGGTCGAATTGCTGGACCTTTGTTAGCAGATTAACTCCTATGTGGATGCCTCAATACTGTCTGAATATAGCACTTGAGGCGAAAGGTACGAGGTTCAAGTCTCAGTGGGAACAACATCACTCACTGGGATGCAGGTACCTCCAGATGACGAGTCCCAAATAGGACAAAAAACGCGTCCTGGATTCCTCCACTAATCACCGAGATCTGTATAACATTATGAGTATTCGGCAGTACCCCCTGCATCTTCATAGAAGCCTATTTACCAACAGACGCCAAGCAATTCAACCCTATATAACAACGGGAAATTACAAGTATTATAGAAACAAAAATTAACCTTTACTTTTGTCACGAAGTGGTTACATCAATTACCTTTAAATGATGAAATACAATGGCTATTTGCTTTAATGAATCGACTGTATTCAAGCAAATTCAGCCTTACCTCTGCTTATAGTAGGAGATTACAGTTAATATAATAATAATAATAATAATAATAATAATAGTAATGATAATGTTTATTCTGAAAGGTATTCCAGTAATACTGTAAGCAATTTTCAGCACGTCATATAGCATCACTTGGGTAGAGACGATGTATGTGTATACACAACAAAATGAAACAAGTAGAAATTACATGAAGAAAAGACAAGAATATTCGCTCTATTTACAACCTTCCTGAAAATGCAGTATTAACTTAAGTAGACATTCATATTGGCAGTTCTATTCATAATGCATCAGTAACACCAAGCTATGTAATCTTCAATTAGTTTGCTGTGAAAAACAAAAGTTAAAAGTAACCCAACAAAATACAGGTCAGTGACTCCTATCTATACTCTTGAAAGTAGTTCGGTAGCTAATTTACAATGCTTTACGTGACTATATGAAACCCACTAACTTTTTTGCATTGAATCGGCAAGATCTTGGATAAGTATATCAGTGTTTCACTAACTTACCAAACGAAGTCGCTAATTAGATAGACATTACTTAGCATCGAGATGAAATCGATGTCATATACCCTAATTTTTCGTAGGCTTTTAAAAGCATCAATGACAACTGTCTCATCAACAAGTTGAAGCTGAAGAAAATAAAATTCTCTCGAAGAATTAGAAACCACTACACCTAAGTGATCGCCTCTTTAAGGTATGGGTGAATTCTGTGATACCCAACGGAAAGAGGTTTTGTACTGGGGTCCCACACGGTTTTATTTTAGGGCCTGTTCCTTTCATGATTTCCAAAGATGACTTACTCCCGCAGAAGTCGCATGAAATTCCTCTCTTTGTTGCTAAATGGTCAGCAGCAAGACCATTGCGAAATCGGCTTGACGATGGTAGCACCAAGGCTGCTTTCAGAAGGCAAATTATAAGATAGTCATCAGTGCAGAACCATATCACTCATCCAGAAGAGTCCTATCCTGGTTCCCAGTCTTCTGAAAGAACGCTGTTGAAAACCATAACTTACCCTCAGAAAGTGTTGAAAAGAGGAGAATGGGTTTTGGAAGCCTATTTTGAATCAGCGGATGCATATGAAAGCATCTCTATAGTCTTCGAGTACAATGAGAAGCGGCACTATAGTGTAAACTGACAAAAATTCTACACAATGACGGCGAATAGTGATGAGTAATAAAGGTCTAAGAAATGGAAAAGTCAGTGATTATGAGTAACAGTAGGTAGCTGTTTAGACTTATCATGGGAACTGGGGCAAAATTATCAGTGGTTGGTTCAGCAATACCTGAGAAGGATGAGTCTATGATTCACTCACAAGAAAGACGACTAGAACAATGAACAGAACACTTCAAGGAACAATGTGATTGCCCGTCATCCAGTCGGGTCGTGAATGGGACATTGAGATAGGGTCTCTAACACAGTGGTTGAGAAAACTACAGGTAACCTGAAACGAGGAAGGCCAACAGACAAATGGATCGGTACCGTAGCTCTTTTAGGACGGAAGTCATAGATTATTGGTTAGATTGATTGAAGTGGAATCAATATGAACCTCTCCGACCATCTTCAATCACTGAGTACCCCAGTGTTCCGGTGAAGGGAGAAATCCTCTCGTGATAACCACAAGAACACAGTGTCCCAGTTTCTAGGTTATATTATTATTAGACGTCTAAGTGTAGCTCGGCAACACCAAGCCTGAGAAAAATAAATAGGTTTTAGATCTGGTCGTGAGTGTATCAATCAAATATTCACTCTACGCTGGGTTCTAGAACACAGACATACTTACTGACGTCCGATACTGGCTGCATTTCTAGACCTGGAGTTTCTGTCAATCGAGAGGTCCAATGGTAGTGTCTCCTATTGAAAGGGGCAACGAGTAAGTATATCACCCTATTGAAGGTCCTGTTCTCAAACACCCGTGGATGTTACAGCTTGTAGTGAGCTGTGTGCGTCGAGTGGCGTCCGTCAAGGATGTTCACTCTCTCCATTCTTATTCAATTTTATCACGGACGTTCTGATGAAGGTCTCTCTCGTCATCTGACCTTATAGTGACTGATATCACAGGAGAGTGGATAGTAAACCTATAGTATGCAGACTATATAGTTCTGTTAGGTGAAGATATTGACAAGATATAGAGTCTTATGAATACCTTGAATCGCTATGTGAGAATAGCTGGGATGCGGTTCTCATCACTCAAATGCAGGACCGATCTTCTCTAGTACCTTATTTACCAGTTGAGAGAAGGGGTTGAGTGCACTGACCACTTCACTTCCTTGAAAAGTGGAATCAGCGTTGGTGAGTCAGTTACCAATGAAATCTCGCACGGATGCAACAGGCTCATCTGATCTGTGCTAAATTACACTATTTGTGCAACCATGATGATGTTCGGATGCGTACTGAAAGTCGAGTGTACTGTGGTGCAGTTTGCCCTGCTTTACTGTATAGCTGTAAAATTAAGCAATTAAAGGTGGTGGATATTAGAATGCTTCAGGTATTCGACCAGTGTTACGTTGAAATCATTGGCTGTGTGTTGTGCTGTCATGATACCAGTAACATAGAAGTCCATCACAGGGTTTTAGGGAGAAGAGGAAAGCCATCACCAGAATGTTTGGGATATTCCGCCGACAAAGCTGTGGCTTACACACTGAAAAGAAGACTCATCGAGACCGAAGCAACATTAAGTTACTAAATTTAAGGATATTATCTAGTTGAAGGAATTGATGAATCTAATGAGAAAACAGAATTTTAAGACGGGAAGAGTGTATTTTTTGGTGAAGACATAAGATATTATTGATGGGATCAAAGAAAAGATTTTCAGGACAGTGTATTCTTACAATGCACGTCCGTTGCTAATCTCAAGTTTTAAAATCCGATTTGCCTTGACTTTGGCAGCTTCAAGTAAAATCAACTGTCTTGTCGGTTACCAAATACCCAATCACAATTAAGGTCATCTATTTTGTGCTTACTTTCTATTGGTCGAGGTATACACAGCTCAAGTTCATAATTTCTGATCATGTATTGATTTAATGATGGATTGTGGCTAGCAGTGAAATTCAGGATACGCATTTCGTCCTATTCGGGACTCGTCAGCTGGTCCAAGCAACGACGGTATCATATAAAAAAAACAATTATACCATGTATTGATTTCATTTTATAATCTGACTATTGGGTGGGACCAACACTAGTACTACTTTATATGATTGGTTATTGTTATCATCACATTTCATCGATTCCTTTAATTTCTTCTTTCTAAAAAATATTACAGACCGAATTGGTTGATTATTCTGACTCAGATTCATCTGAACAAAGTGTATCTTCATTATTTGAACATAAAAGTGAAGATTCTGTTGATTCATCGGATCAAATTCCACATGGTGCCTTACAAGATGATTATACAAATAAGGAAGATTTTTTTAATTTAAAGGATGCTGATCAAGATGGTAACGGTCAGTTTTATTCTAATATGTAGATAGTAGATTTTTTTTGGCATGTATTTGTAGCGTAGCAAGAATGTAGTGAGATAGATGGTGTTTGTCAGGCTACAGACTACTTATTACCACTTGTAGAGACGCATTTTGTTAAATGTTTATAATTGTATGGTCTATTGTATCTATCCACGTGAACATCAAATCGTATCAACTTGCTAGTGATCTGATTGATCCATTGGCAATGTCAATCCAGGAAAGCCTACCTTATATCATCATTCTTCGGAGTGCATCCAGTTTCCTCTCTCTTCTTCGAGTAATAGAAATGGATAGTGTAGGTATCAGTTCATCAAATGAACGTTTAGTTTTGTAATGCCGAAATTGTTTTAAGTTAGCATATTCGTGATTTTATCGACTGGTACCTATTAGGATTTGTGGAACTCTGAACAACCTCCTAGTTAAAAACGCTTTTGATGTTTGAAGCGATGGGTATTACATTCGAATTTCAGTGGGAAGAATATCACTCAATGGGATGCAGTTACATCATGCTGAATAGTCCTAAATCGGACGAAACGCGCGTCCTTGATTTTACAACTAGTCACCAAGTTGGATACAATATCATTTAGATGGTATTAGAAACTTCAGATCTAAACATTTTTACTGTCCAGTGAACTGACCGGATAATTTTTGAAGTTTTATTTCTAAGCAAAAGATTCTTGATTATCAGAGTATCCTTACCGTGTTTTGTAATGTGACATATTGTATTTCTTTCCGATCAGTCACCACACCACGCTAACAAGTTTTTTTTGTATGTGACTGGGAGTAGTCACAGGTTATTGGAATACAGACAAACAGAATCAACGTAAAACCTCCCTCACAAGTGAATCACTATAATCTGCCATACTTCATAGTAGTATACAAAGAACAAGTCAACAGAAAAGTAGTGATATCAAAATAGATAATGTTATGTGATAGAATAAAGAATCTGGAGATAAAGGTTAGTGCAGATATTCAAAATTTAGAATACGTCAAAGAGGGAAACCATCTGCCTAGTTGTGATCGATTTTCAACCATGTCATCAAGAGTCCTCAACCACTGATTCCTATCGTCTTGGAGACCGTAGTCAGGCAGTCTATTTCTCCCCATTCAGCTAAGACCAAGAGTCAGTGACTTGATTAACTGGTGTTGGGTCTTGGCTTGGTCAGCCTGAACCATCTTTCAACATAATCCAACTTCGCCTAGTATTGCACGTCGAGGTAGATAGTGCTTCTCCATGTGTTGTATGGGTCTAAGCCACCTCAGTTGCTGATGGTTCACAACGTCATCAACCATCTTCCCTCCCCTGCCTAGATTCCTTCTCATGACCTCAATATTGCCTACGTAGTGACTATAACACATCCTAGTGATCCTACGTAGCGAAATGCGCGAACCTCAGATACGTCATTACAAGTGTAAAAACAACTTTGTTTCATACAGTGTGGAAATATATCCGCATTCAAAGTAGTTTTCATCACGAGAATTATTAAAAATTAAAGAGTAATTGACAACTGAATTGGCATGATCCACTTTGTAATTTTTCACAGTTGAATAGTTACTGAACTGCTACCCACCTATGGTGTCAACAGAGTTTCCATTGGGAACCATTCGTCAGCCAACATTATATGATGCAATCTTTGTTACAAAGGTGTCATGAACTAGCAAAATATGCTCCTACTGAGAAATTTGAGTTGTAAGAAACTCCTCGGGCTAATCTGTAGATTTCGCCAGCCAAAGGTCGCATCTTATGATCTCGGGTGGGTGGTTCTTAACTGAAACTCGGTTTACATCGCAGTTGGATAGCACTTGGAAAACTACTCAATTGTGAGAAATATCAACGTGTTATTTGTAAATCATTTGCAAATTGATCATCCTGTTTTACACATACCATTGCAGATGCAAGTGATCTGAAGTAATTCAGCTCTTTGGCCTGGATTTGTCTGGATACACTACTGATGAGCTCTGCCTTAAACGAGCGAAACAGCCGTCCGCTGCTTAGATCACTTTGGTCAGGCTGAAGAAACCTACAAATCAGTCTGAATGGTTTCTAACTACTCAAATTGTTCAGTAGTAGTATATTTCAGCATTTGACAATTATTTGGTCATGGCTTGGGACTACTCCAATTGTGTACATCCATGATACTTTTAGTGAAGGAGCGTAGAACCATCAGGTCTTGCGGTTAACATGTTACACTTTAGCTACTGCGTTTTTCTCACCTCTAACAATTCTCGATATAGTGCAATTATTATCTGATGTTATCAAGAGGCGGCACCGTTTTCTCTGAGTACAGTACAGTAATGCCATAACAAAAAGATGTTTACTCAAAACAGTACGGTAACTATGCAATATACACGATATCTAATCTAACTATATTCTTGTTTATTATTGATTTCGTGTGCTGATTAGCGATGTATGATGTCTTTGACTGTTGGTTTGAGCTATGTGGGGTGATACCGACTAGCCGGTTTGGGGTCCGCAGGACAACGCTATACCGAATCTCACCATTTTTTCATCTTATCTTTCTCTCTCTTCCTTTTAGTGCTTGATACTTCTTTTGAGTGAATTTTCTTTTCCTCATCTTCGACTTCACTGTCTTTTTACTCAATGTACTGATTTCAAGTGCCCGATCCTATGTTGATTTGGATGGATGGATTAGTGATTGAATTTTAGACGTGTCTATTAAAATGCATCATTTCACGATTAGTGAATTCACTTCCTCAATACTGCATAGTAGATAACGTCGATATCTCCTTACTTTGGATACTTTGTAGATCTTTTAAAAGTTTGCTTCTGATGTACCTTGATTTCGTTCTTAGCATGTTTTTGTGAATCTGCTTGCTGATTAGATCAAAACGTACTCATAAAACGTATACACGTCCGTGTAGTAGTCAATAAGGGCTAACAATACTACCTCGTCATCCGAACTTTGGTAGGTGGATCAGGACTCGAACTCGTGACCCAATAGTTGTAAGTCAACTGCCTGAACCAGTGGAACATAGAGCCACATGTCTATGTACTAATATTTTGGAACTTAGACTGTTGAGTCAGAAAATCAATTTTAAGCTACGCGTAACCTAAATACAATGTTGAGGCATAGTGAAATTTAAGTCGACATATATATGCGTCCTACGAAATTCTGACCGCATATTTAAGAGATGTATTTTTAGATTCCCTCGAGAAAAATATTTTTTGCTTAATCACCTAGAAACTATACCATTTACAAATGTTACTGAGCATGAGAAAAATCAGTTTAACATTTTCCTTTACGTTAAAGATGCCTAATCCCTAAGAAAAACTTACTTATGTATATATCATCATTGTAAAATGTAAACTTTAATTTCGCGCCATTTTTTGCATCATGCAATATTACTTATTTTTTGTTGTAGTTTAAGATACTAAACGCTGATTGGTTCATCTTACACTTTTAATGTGCTATTTTCTTTTCATTGGCCAAGGTCATTTGACGGTATATAAATGACCAAATTTTCAGCAATGAAGACTTTTCGGTTGAAGCAAATATACTTTCAGTCTCATCGTCTTATTCTGGTTTCAGCTGAATATCGTAATGATAAGTCATTGTTCTATCGTTAATCGTATCGCGTCGAAGCATTACGTAGTTATTTATACTGCTGATCATAACACTTTAACTGCAAGCATTCGAAAAAGCCTTTGAATAACAGCTTAATGTAAATATACAAACTCCCTTTTAGTTGATTTATTATATATATCACACAATGGAAAAATATCGTTGACGGGATATATTTGATAAATCAACTAAAGCAGAATTGTATTCTACCCTGGTGTTCGCATTTTACGCTTATATTGGTAAATGTACAAAGGTGATAATTGTTCACCTTTTATATTAATAAGCGATACTGGCTAACAGCAGAATCCGGGGCTCGATTTTCGTTCTACTTGGGACTCGTCAGCTGGATATACCTGCCTGTCAGTGAGCTATGCTGGTCTAATTAAAATTCGAGCTCTGGACCGAGCTCTTCAGAAACCAAATCGTTCTCTACTAGACCACTTTGTTTTCTTCAAAAAAGCAAAATGACTGAGATCATTAGTTCCACCTAAACGTCATTTTTGGATACAAAATAAATGTCATAGTACATCGATTGGTCAATAAGAATGTTATGATCCAAGGTATATAAAATGCTGCGATGCGATACGATTAATGATAAAACAATGATTTCTCAACTCGATATTCAGCTGGCATCCGAAGATGAGATTGAAAGTATATTTATATCAACTAAGTTACCCTAATAGCTGAAAATTCAGTCATTTATATACCATCAAATGACCTTGGCCAATGAAAACGAAATAGCATATTAAAAGTGTAAAATGAACCAATCAGCGTTTAGTATCCTAAAAAATAAGTAATGTTGCATGAGCAAAAAATGGCGCGAAATTAGGGTTTAAATTTTAAAATGATAATATATTCATATTATAAGTAATTTTCTTCTTAGGGATTAGGCATCCCTAACAGAGAAGTAAACAGTCTCATGTTGTTGTTTTTCACAGATTACGGACTAAATTATGTTGACCATTTAACAATATGGTCACTAAGCTGGGGATTAACCACCACGATACACTTCGATGGATGATATTTGGATGGAGGCAACAATCAGGCAGTCCTGTTCAACCTAAGTTTCGTGCTTTTTTGCCGTCATCAGATTAGTTGTACCTGCAACATCAAGTGAATTATAATCCTCTCAAAGATTTGAACTTGCATCACCCAGCGATGTAGTCAGAGGTCTTATCACTGAGGTATTCACGCTAGTAACTACGGTGCTGAGTGATTCGGGTTTGAATCTCAGATGGCATTGCAGTTCCCTCTGGGTTGCATATATGACTTGCATTCAATCATCTAACATCAATCAAAATACACCGTGACGCTGAGACTCCTAGCCTGGTAACCGTATTGCAAAATAATCGATTGACTTCACTCATCAGTTAAGACCGAACAACATTAAATTGTTTA